TTGATGAGCGAGTTGTGCGTGAGCTCTCGGAAGTGTCTAGAAAGTGCCTAGGAAGTACCTTTGCGAACGCATTGATGAGCGAGTTGTGCGTGAGCTCTCGGAAGTGTCTAGAAAGTGCCTAGGAAGTACCTTTGCGAACGCATTGATGAGCGAGTTGTGCGTGAGCTCTCGGAAGTGTCTAGAAAGTGCCTAGGAAGTACCTTTGCGAACGCATTGATGAGCGAGTTGTGCGTGAGCGTGTCGGGCTCGATGCCGCGCCGCTGCATGTCCTTGTAGTAGGCGGTCGCGAGCCGCGGCTGGCGCCAGGTGCCCGCGCGGGCGATGAGCGTGCCGTACGTCACCTGCGTCGGCGTCAGCCTCGCATCGAGCATCGCGCGGAAGACCTCGCCCGCCTCGGCCAGCGCGCCGCGGTCGCCGAGCAGCCGCAGCAGCTGGTTCACCTCGCGCACGAGGCCGACCTTGGCCGCGGCCGTCGTCGGCGGCTGCCGCAGCGCCACCTTTGCGCTCGCCAGAGCGGCGCTCGCGTTCCCCGCTGCCGCCGCGGCTCGCGCTAAGTGCAGAGTGCCGCCGCCGCCACCGCCGCCACTGCGGCCGCGGCCGCGGCCACTCGAGCGCTCGACGCCTCGAGAGAGCGCGGCAGAGAAGTCCCTGCCGCCACCGAGGACGGCCGGCTGAAAGCGGCCGCGTGCGCCGCGGCTCGTGGGTGCATCCATCTCCAGAGCTCTAGCGCGTGCCACGCCGCTTGGCAGCGCGCGGCGGAGCACGAACGCCGGCGTCTGAAGCGCAGACGCAGCTGCTAGCAGAATACCGGCAAAGGGGCTCATTCGACGAAGAGGTTGCCCGCGTTCGGGAGCACCACCTCTGTAGATAGCACGAGCCCCGTACGACGCGCTGCCGTCGGAGCTCAGAGCGTCGACCAAAAGAATACTGTCCCGTTTTGCTGTTCACAGCTAGGGACGGCCTCTGCGGCAAAGTCAAATCACCCCCACCACCCTCCCTCCCTACCACCACAGGCAAACCTTCGGCTCCCGCTCAGAGGCTCGCCGCGCCCGTGCGGCGCGCCGAGGCGGCGCCGAGGCCGGCGCCTTGCACCCGGCCCGCGGCCGGCACCGCCTCGCCCCACAACTGACCGCCCTGCGGCCCCTGCGCAGGCGTACCACAGGCGTCGCTCAAAAAGCGACGCCGGGTGTGGGCTGCTCCCTTGACCCGTCACGGGTGCGGCGCGCCGAGGCGGCGCCGAGGCCGGCGCCTTGCACCCGGCCCGCGGCCGGCACCGCCTCGCCCCACAACTGACCGCCCTGCGGCCCCTGCGCAGGCGTGCCACAGGCGTCGCTCAAAAAGCGACGCCGGGTGTGGGCTGCTCCCTTGACCCGTCACCCGCCGCGCCCTCGCCCGGCCGCCTCACCGCTCACGGAGCGCTCGGCGGCTCGCCGCCGCCGCCGCGCTTCCCGCGCCGCCACGCATGCCCCTTGCCCTGACGCGCGCGCTCTGCAGCGGCGCAGAGCGCGCGTCCCTGGCACAGAACGGAGCAGCGACCGCGCCAGCGGTCGCTGCTCCGTCCCCCCGTCGCGCGCGCCGCGCGCGCG